TGTTAAATCAAATAGTTTTAAATATCGAAGGTTGACGCCATCGGGTTGAAAAGATGTAGGGATTAGATAATTTGAGTTTGCCACAAAAACACCTTTACAAAGAACTCGATTAAAGACATTCTATACACGAAAGCTGAGTAGAGGTTCTCTAAACTATTTTTCAAATATTAAAAAGAAACGTTTTTTAGGGTTTTAAAGTATGTTTAAATTGTATCTTAGTGTTCTTTTGATTTAGGAATGCTATAAAGGATTCACAACGCTATCCATACGCATTTTTTCTCTGACGGAAATCCAAAATGCAAAACTTATGCAGATTGTAGTATAAAGGGTACCGGGAGTCGAAGATCCCTTAAAAAAGTTTCTCGAAGTTGGATGAGTATATTTCATGGATGACTGCTTCTAGAGAACTCAATTGATATCTTGCTTTTATTCACGTTTATTGCCTCGTTAACTCAGCCAGCAAGATACATTAAAGTTATTTACTAGAAATTTCAATATTTGAATCCACTGAAGGTTTAGTATTGTTGAAATAAGCCAAATAAAAGTGTAAAAAAACATTAAAAAAAGATTTGTTCAAATATTTATGCATAGCTAGTTGGTCATCGAAATAAAAATAATTTTTAATTAATTTANTATTTCCATTTACTGATAGCGCCGATTGAAGGATTCATAACTCTAATTGGATAATGAGATAGATAGAAATATAGACGTCGCCGCCAAATTATTTCTATAGTTCAGAATAGACAACAAACACATGACTGAATCCTGATTGGATCAGGCGCTAATGGATTCCGCATACAGGAGTGATTAACGAATGCTTAAAGTCATTAGAAAAATAAATGCATGATATCTTCTTGAATATTGCACATTGAGGAAACAATTAAATACGAAAAAGTCCAAAATATGAAGATTCAGTTTAGATTTCCTTACTTAATCTTTCAGAGTTTTAGAATTTAAGATTTTAAGGTCGTCATTTAAGTCTTTTTTTTTTAAGGGCAAACAAACCACTTTAGTATGAGTTATGACCACTTGGTTGTTCACTTTAGTGAGGCCACTTTAATGCACCTACTAAGGTGTCTCAACTAAAGTGTGTCCACATAAGTAAACCCTTTGCGCTTAAAAATTTTCAAGATGTGCACAAGGACGTTGCAGTGAACACTTTCACTTTTTTTGAGACAACTTTACAGAATTCGTATATTAGCACTAAATCTGTTCAGTTGAAATTCTTTTGAATTTAATTTTAGAATCGTGAATTATCAATGCTACCCAATTCACATTTCAGAGAAAAGTTTGTTTTTGTTTTTACTTTTTCATAAATACTTTATTTATTTTTTCATTTGGGAAAAATTTAAAAACTAGAAAGAGACTGTATTTTGTAGGAAAACGTCTTAATATTACAAAACAAAATATAAAATTTAGTATAAAATGCATTTAATAGTATAATACTGTGTTTTATTAATTTGTGTAAGAAAAGAAGTGTTTTAATATAGAATTTGAGAAATGAAGGTATCGAGTCTTGTAGAAAAAATCTACTAAAGGGTTTTAGGGCACACATCCAAACGTACAAGCAAAGTATAGAGAGTATATATATATAGATTCTGTAAAATCTCTCTGAAATTGACTTTTTTAATTGACCAGTGTTAATGTCCTTTGTAATTGACCTCTGTAATTGACCTCTGTAATTCATAAAATGTTAGAATTGTAAAGAAAGTATTGTTTAAATTTGTTTGTTGAGTGAGATTTTATTTTATTTTACGACAAGGTTTAGATCTTAGTACACAGGGACACAATCTAGTAGACACCATCTAGTAGACACAATCTAGTAGACACGATCTAGTAGACACAATCTAGTAGACACAATCTAGTAGACACAATCTAGTAGACACAATCTAGTAGACGCAATCTAGTAGACACCATCTAGTAGACACAATCTAGTAGACACAATCTAGTAGACACAATCTAGTAGACACAATCTAGTAGACACAATCTAGTAGACACAATCTAGTAGACACAATCTAGTAGACACAATCTAGTAGACACAATCTAGTAGACACAATCTAGTAGACACAATCTAGTAGACACAATCTTACACATGGAGTAACATTCGCCTTTTGCTTTCTTTTTTTTCTCATAATGAGAAACGAAAGAAAAGAAAGAAGAAAAAGGGAAAAAAGGAGAAAAAAGAAAAGCTCATGGTTCAAAACTAGCCATAGCTATCGTGTTTGCATTTATCTATTCTATGACTAAATCGTTTCTAATTCGTATTTAACCCAAGGTGTCCCTCTCGTTGGTTTATACTGTTCTAGCTTATATCTATCTATCATATTTTAGGAATTTAACCCAAAGTGTCCTTCTCGTTGGTTGATACTGTTCTAGCTTATATCAATCAATCTTATTTTAGGTATTTAACCCAAAGTTTTCTCAGTCGTTGGGTCATTTAATGACGTCACAAATTCCAATATATTCCCAGGTCTCTCCAGTATATTACAATATTACACATTAGACGTCAAAGATATTTATTACATCTTAAATTTTCCTGTTATATTTTTATCCAAAATGCTTAGGTGGAAAATTTAATAAAAAAAGGCTGCAGAAAATGTTATAACTTTGGTTTGGTTTCGGCCTTCATATTTATTTATCAGAGTCACACTTTTAGTCATAGCATTAGTTACATATATATGCCTATAAAGCCCAATTGTTTCAATCCAAAACACATGACACCAGGATAAAAAATGTTCCCTAAAAAAATTCGATTTTTGAAATTTTGAACTTTTGTTATACTGCTTAAAAAAGGAATTGAGTCTTTGGAACAAAATCAAATATTTAAACCTCAATATCTTTAGAACTCAATGTTGTAAACCTTTGATATTTCAAACTCAGATTACTTGATCTAACAGAATTCATAGTTTGAAATATCTAAGGTCTTCAACATTTGGTTCCAATGATATAGTGATTAGAAAATCAGAGTTTGTGGCAAAGACTCAATTCCTTTGTGGTCCAAATGGGATCGAAAATGATGACTACTTTTATTTACAGAAGATTACAATTATTCACGGAGCTTGACCATTTGCATTACACCAGAGTGATTGTATTAACCTACAGTGACTAATAAAGAGAAACCTGAATTGAAGGATAGAAAACATAATTTTCAAATAAAATTTTAAAATTCCACCAGTTTTTATTAAATTTTACTGGAGAAACGGTAGAACTCACAGGAATTCAGATATGCTGGTTTAGTAAGCTGTAAAATTTCACTTTCGAACCTTTCTTAACCAAAACATATCACTTTCTTTAATTACACTTTTTGCTGGGCTTGTTCAAAATAGCAACGTTTCTTTCGTTTTCTATGATGGATCTTTATTAAAAAATTATGTTTTGACGGAATTTATCCTGTTAAAACCTGGACATACTTATCTATACATAGTTTTGCGTGAACGGTGCCTGAAAGATTGTTTAAAATTATACTATAAAATGTGCAAAACTATGTTTATTATTCTCTAATTAAATATTTTTATGTACACAGTAATCTAGACAGCTATGTACACAGTAATCTAGACAGCTATGTACNGATAGATAGATAGATAGATAGATAGATAGATAGATAGATAGATAGATAGATAGATAGATAGATAGATAGATAGATAGATAGATAGATAGATAGATAGATAGATAGATAGATAGATAGATAGATAGATAGATAGATAGATAGATAGATAGATAGATAGATAGATAGATAGATAGATAGATAGATAGATAGATAGATAGATAGATAGATAGATAGATAGATAGATAGATAGATAGATAGATAGATAGATAGATAGATAGATAGATAGATAGATAGATAGATAGATAGATAGATAGATAGATAGATAGATAGATAGATAGATAGATAGATAGATAGATAGATTGTATTTTTGCGGCGTGAAAGACTACACATTTTGTATTATTTTGTGAGGTTTTAATAGTTATAAAGATTAACAGATATTAGATAGATAGATGAGATAGATAGATAGATAGATAGATAGATAGATAGATAGATAGATAGATAGATAGATAGATAGATAGATGAGATAGATAGATATGTTTTGAATACGTCAAAGATTATGCAAAATCATTTCTTGCTAACTATATTAGTTATCTTTCATTACAATCGACACACAAGAAAATTATACTTTCATTTATATATTAAGGAAGTGACTGACAATATGCAAAAAGGATCTCTAGAATTAGAAGCAAAAAATCATAGTTATAGCTTTATTTAGTATACAAGATGAATTCGTTTCAAGGAGTAGGGTTTAGTATTGTAGATCATGCAGAATTTGTCGAAAACTGTTTCTGAATTTG